TAATAGTTGAAGCTGAGTGATACTGTACAGATAGATGCATTTCCTATACTTCGAATGTCTTTTAATTTTGCCATAATAAGAGTTTAAAAAAAAATCTGGCCTCTAACCGACTGACTCCAAAATCAACAAACACACCTTCATTTGGCCAGTAGGTTCCCAGACCTCACCCTATGGCAAGCCGCATGGAATGAATGAGACGATAAGTTGGGGCAGTTCACACTCTCCAGGATAAAGCAGTGAGGGGCAGACAGTTTGAGATCATAATTAAGGGCACAGGCTTTAATGTCAGAACTAGACTTGAGGGTCAACTCTGCCACTCACCAAGAAGTTGCTTGACCTCTCCACACTTCGATTGTCTCATCTGGAAAACATGAGGGAGGCAGGATCGATCAAAGTTGCTGTGAATAAAAAGAAGTAATCCATGAACACCCTTAGCCATCAAGCACATGTGAAAGTCTAATAGGAGTTATTTTGATGCATAGGTGTTAATAGAATTTAAAAATATTACAGGCAGTGTGCCCTGGAGTTCACAGGAAGAAGAAATTCACTGTGAATCTCCCCTTACAGGTAGCTCCCTGAGTTTGCTTCGGGCTGCTCTGCTGGGGGCCTCACAAAGAAGGCTACAAGTGAAACAGGTGAGGCCCATCCTGTGGAATGCAGTAGATGAGGCCCAGGCCCGCCGAGCTGCCCTGAAGACCCTGCGTTTAGGTCTCCTTGGGAACACCTTGACAGATGGTGGGCTTAGCCAGCTGGGCAGGGCACTCTGGGAGCTACAGGTGAGCAAGATGAGGCCTGGGGGCTCCTAGACCATCAATGACCAGGGCCCACTCTGAACTTTTTTTCTGTAGGTGGTAAAAGCCTGGAGCCAATGCCCAAGAAACCCAGTACCCAAAGGGGCCAGAGCTGAGGTGGAGAAGCTTCCAGAGCCACAGGTATGTCTTTCATCCAACCTCTTAGGAGCTCCATTTATGTCTGCCTTCCTCCCCTCTGTTTATGGAGCATTCCATTTGTTCACTGATTTATTGATTCCACAACATTTACTGACCATCTATTATGTGCTGGGCATAGTGCCATGTCAGCTATGATAATTTCCTGTTCTTGTAGCATTTATAACCTTCTGGGAAGAAACAATTACAACACTATGATCGGTGCTCTGAAAGGCTTATAAACACCTGCTTCTATCGGGAATCTAAATTAGCCTTGGCAGGAGAATAAGGAAGACTTCATGGAGGAAGTGACTCCTTATGGGTTAGCAAAAAGAGTAAAGAACGTTCCAGGAAGAAAGAGTAACACAGTCAGAGGTGAATGAGTACTTGATATCTCTGGGAAACTGAAAGCAGCTCAATTTACTGGAGATTAGAGTTTGAAGGAGATAATCAGGAGAGGACTGGAAAGGGAAGCAGGGCCAGATCACACAGGGGTCTATAAATCTATTGAGTTGTTTGGACTCTGTTTTCAAGGTCCAAGGGGAGCCATTGAAGTACTATAAGCAAGGGAGATGACATTGGTTCCACTTGTCAGGAGAGAAAACTGAGGCTCAGAGATGTGAGTACCCCAGAGACACCAACATCATCAGAGGCAGCAGAGGTACAATCACACTCAAACCCTTAGACTCCTAATCTGGTATTCTTTTATCCTCTTAGGCATGACCTTTCTAGAGCAGAGGAGATCCTGTCCCATTGATTTTCTGTAGGGTAGATAAAACCCTGCCTCTCTCTTGGTCCTTCTCTTTCCTTTTTATAATTTATAAACTGTGTTTACAGCCCTGGAGTTGGAGAATTAGGCACTACTCTCAGTTATTGAGGAAGTACTTTAGGCCATTATCTCATTTCACGCTCTCCACAACTTTTATCATCTCTGTTTTATGAAGAACATGGAGACTCAAAAGGCTAGTTAACTGCTTGAAGTTATACACCCAAAATGGGCTGGGTGCCTGGTCCCATTTCAAATCCCTGAGCTTAACATAAGGTGTTCTAGGAGGAAGGATGTGGAGTTGTCACTCCTAACATAGTCTTAGCAGCTGACAGATTCAGCAGCAAACCACAGCATAGGTATGAAGGGGGAACACCAAAGTGGATCTGGGACGTGGAGGCTAGCTGTGTATGTGTGGCTTCCTTCCACCTTTGGTGTGATTATTTTCCTCAAGTGGCAGGAAGAAGACCATCTCTAGGGCCTGGGGTCCACCAAAAGCATTTTCACAGGAACTCTGAGGAACAGGTAATACCTCATGTACCCCAGGAATAACTGGAAATTCTTGTGGGGAGTGAGGAGTCTCAGAGACCAGCTAACCTGCTTCCTGCTTACCCTACTCTGACTTTGGGGGAGGAAATGGAGCTTCTGGCAAATCCCTATGAGAGAAAGCTCTGGGAAAGGCTGTTTTCTTTCTGGGTTGGATTGGGGTTGTGGGCCTTTATTGTACTATGGGTAGAGCCAGTGGGTTCTCTCTCCACCCATGGCCTGCTGAGTCTGTGCCCAGGCTACAGGATCTTCAGAGAAGTCAGGTCCTGGATGTACTTCTGGTAGCATCCCTGGAAATGAGGTTCTGTTGGAAAAGTTGGGCCCTGTGTCCCAAAGGTATGTACATGAGTGTGGCTGAACCTAGACTGAGACTATCTAGGCCTGCCAGGCCCCAGATGTGCCCCTGCAGTTCCTCCTGGCCCAGGCCCAGAGGCAAAGGCTGCAAGAGAAGCACCAAATTTGGATCCAAGAGGAGCTGAAGCATTTGGGACAGGAGGAGGTGGCAGGTGAACAGGTCAAAGGCCTGGTGGCTGAGGAGGAGGTGAGAAGAGTAAGTATGGGGCTAGGACCTATTACCAATCACAACTGACTGGTCCATAACATGTCATGGCCCTTGTAGCCTTGTAGGGGATAAAGGAGCAATTCTCAGTGCTGCACACTGTGGCAGAAGAGTTAGGGGTGGGTGGGAACAAAGAATACATCATCCAGGCTGGAATGGATCAGAGATGGCATTAAGCTAAGACTTTGAGGACAAACAGAAATGAGCCAAGGAAATTCACTAGATTTAGCCCCACAAGGGCAGTCATTGTTCACCACAGAGAGATTCAGTAAATACAACTTGTTTGATCAAATTAAGAAACAAAACTTAAGTGGTGGGGGGTGCATGGAGTGGGGGACATGTTCCCAGTGAGGATAAAACTGTGTGGAAGCAATGGCAAAATAAGCTCTGGGAACTACATACTGTCCTGCAGGCTAGAGCATGGCAAGTGTATAGTCAGAGGTAATGCTGAAGAGAGTGTGCCATGTCTGTGGGTTTGGATTTCACTCCAAGGATGCTGGGGAACTGTTGAAAGGTATGTGCCATCTCTAGCCATGGGAATCTGGGCAAATTAAGTCATCTCCCTGATCCAGGTTCCAAATTTATAAAATGGCAACTGCCTCCATAAGGTTGTTACTGGATAAAAATAAAACACATGAAGTGTTTAGCAGAGTGTGGCACACAGCTGGCACTCAAAAATGACTATGAATTATCTCTGAAGTTTTGTGAAGAGAGACAGAGATGGCTCTGAGAGCAGAGAGTGCTGAGGCTCCAGGTGGAGGCCCTGCACGCAGAGCAGGACACTGCAGAGCAGGACCTGGCAGCCCTCTATGACCTGCATGTGCAGGCCACCTTCGCTCAGACGTGCCACATGCTGCAGGTCAGGGGGGACAGATGGCAGGTCCTGAGCTGGTGTCAAGGTTGGTGGGCTGACAGGCATCTGTGAATCGGGGCACAGGTATTCCAAGCCTGGCAGGGGCTGTGGGAGGAGGAAGCCACAACCAGAGAGCACCATCTTCGCAGCCTCCTGGCTGGTATCCTGCAAGACACCATTGATCTGGCCTCGAAGAATCAGGAGCTCCAAGCCCAGAACCAGCAGCTTCAGCGTCAGCAGTGTGCAAGCCAGCCTGGGACAGTCACACTGGATCCCTGCTCTGGACAGAAACCTGGTGATCAGGAACCCTTCAAAGGCAGTTTCCTTCATCATTCTTGGGAGTCCTAGAAGGTTGGAGGGTGGGACATGACAATGAAGTAGAACCTCATTAAAAGTAATAAATTCCACTAATAAACACATCTCATTGTGCTGGTTCCTGCTAAGTGCCTAACATGTATTACTTCACTTTGCCTTTTCAGCTATTTTGTCAAAAAATATAGTCAACATACATAGGTACCATTTGATCTTTATTTCAGAGATAAGGTAATTGAAGCTAGGAGGTTAAATGGAAGGATGGTCAACTAAGTCAGAATTTTAAAATCAAGTTGGCTATTGTGGTACATCGTAAATAGTAGTGGTTTATAAGCTTCACTTTGCATCAGAATTACCTATGGAGCTTAAGAAAAACAAAAAAAAACTAAACCCCATTCCCTAAGATTCTGCAATGGGTCTGAGATAGGTCTAGCACTTTTTTGGCACTGAAATTGGAACAAGGTAGGGCCTTTGCATGGGTAAGCATTTGTTCTACCACCAAACTACACCTACCCTGGAACTCTTTGACAAGCACACCAGGTACTCTACTATGGAAGTGGGCCTGGCATTCCTCTGGCCATGATTGCGAAGGACAGATGACCACAAGAATTATCTGTGAGGGAACCAGAGGAAATGAGAATCAAAACCACATTCATAGTCTTAAGTTTTCTACCTTAGTCTAGTTCTGCTGGGCCAAGTAACTTCTATTTTCAAGACTCCATATTCCCTGTGGCACAAGTTTTGTGCTTCAGGGGTTTCAAAAGCTCTGTGACAGGGAATAGTCTCAGCTCCATGGAGTTCCCAAAGGAAAATGCCACTGGCAACAGCTGAAAGAAAACATTTCCTTCTAATGTTACTTACAAAATTTTAAGATACTCAGGAGACCAGGGGATAAAATTATGTTTCAGGGGCCGGGGATTTAGCTTAGTGGTTTCACTGCCTGTCGTGTAAACACAAGGACCAGAGTTCGATCCCTGGTACCAAAAAAAAAATTATGTTTCAGGAGACATGTATAACACAAAAGACACAGGACAATAGTGACTGGTTATAGGAAGCACTTACACCCTAGAACACTTTTAAGACTTTATTGCTTATGCAGTTAGAGACACTGATTGAGCTATACAGGTTTCCTGTACCTGGTCCCAGGTCTCTGTCCAGAGCTTCTCCAGACTGCTGGGACCTGGGACACTACTAGGAAAGGGCAGGCTCCACAGTGGGGAGATGGTACCTCCCAAGAACCTTGGAGGTGGTACAGGACTTCAAGAGGGCCCAGGGGCAACATTTCCTGAGACAAGCCCCAGCCCCCTCTAGGGTCTCCAGACCAAAGGCTGGGTAGGTGTGGGAAGCAGCACTGTGGAGAGGGGCAGATGTCTCCAGGCACTGCTAGATGGGGAAGCTTGGTAGAGTGGCCTGGGTGATGAGTGTATAATTTGTTGGCAACTGGGCTTTCCTGCATGAGAGTGGGGAGTATTTCTTGGGGGAAGTCATGCACCAAGACTGGGCTGAAGCAGCCAGTATCATGCCTGGGGGCAGTGGGTCTGCCAGGCAAGGAAAGTCATCTGCTGGCCACACACTTATTACTCTGAGAAACTGTGTTCACGCAGGATGAGACAGGAGGCCTCCCACATCAGAGATGGGGTTATTTCTTAGGACTATGTATTGATACTCCCAACTTTTTAGTCTGGAAGAACTTGGGGGTGTGGTGGAAAACTAAAAGTCTTCTTAAGCAAACCCACTCTTCATGTCTCCTAGGGGTACTCCTTTATCTAGCACCTCCAGAGACTAATGTGGCTCCTCTCACTTCCTCAGCTTTTCTCACAAGGCACTTGTTACAGGGCTGCTGAAGAGAGGTTAGGGAAGGCCTGGGAGGTGGCTTTAAGTAGTGGCACCCAATCCATAGGGTAAGAAAGTGACTGGAGATGGTCAGGATCTAGTGGCTGCTATAGTACAGGCGCATAGCCAGCCCGATGAGCAATGTGGCCAGGAAGAAGGTGGCTGTGAGCTGCAGTCCCAACAGGGCTGCTGAGAGCACAGCATTGACCACCAAAGAACAGGACACAACAAAGAGGCGTGTGATGCTGCTGCCATGCTTCATGACAGCTGACATGAGCAGGCCATTGAGTGCCTGGCTCAGCACAACAAGTGCTGCCCATCCTGAGAAACCTTCCAGGAGGCCTGGGCCAGGACCACTGCCTGCATGCAGACCAAGGTTCAGCAGCACACCGAAAGTGTAGAGGAAGAGGTTCTGTAGTGCCAGGGGCAGTTGCTGTCTCTTCATCAGGAGCTCTGTGTACACAGAGGACAAGCCTGAGATGAAGCAGTACAGGATGAGGAGCAGCAATCCCAGTGGAGTGATATGCAGGGGCATGGTGCTGGCAGCAGCTCCTGGTGGGGGCCCTGGAACAGTGTTCCAAGAGTCCTGCAGGCCACCTGCTGCATAAAAGCCCCCTGCAATCATCAGCAGCAGCAGTGCCAACCCCTGGCGTGCAGAGAGGCGGCGCTGGAGGCAGAGGCAGTACAACAGGGCTGTGCTTCCAATCTTGAGATTGCTCAGTACCTGGTAGGTGCTGGGGTCCATGTAACGTTGTAGATAGATCACCAGGTTGTTGTTGGCACCATAGAGCAGGGCTGATAGTGCAAAAGGAGCAGCTTGGCGCCAGGGTGGGCCTCCCATGGGCCACGCTTGCCATCCTACCAGGAGGGAGAAGGCGCACAACAGTAGCTTGGTCAGCTCAGTGAGCAGCACAGCTGAGGAGGGTCGGAAGGGTACTTGGCCATCCACATGGCACAGTGCCAGCAATGGGGCATGTGCACCATACATGGCAGTAGACAGGAGGAGCATCAGGGTCCAACGGGCCTGCCTGTGATGGCCCAGGCCAGGTATACCCCCCTCCTCTGCACTCATGCCCCAGTCAGACCCTGGGCAGCCTGTGTAGCTAGCAAGGGGCAAAGAGATTGGGATACATTTGAGAGAAATCAAGTTATAGAGCCAGCTTCCAGGAAGGAGAAGGTGGGGTACATTGTGAGAGAGAACACTGAAGATCAGAGTCAGCTGCACATTCCAAAGTTAGGGCTAGAAGGGGAAGGGGTGGGTGAATCATAGTCTTGGGGCCAGTCCCATGGAGGCAGGAAGGGAAGGAATCCAGGGTGTGGGCTGACAAGCCACTGTACAGCCTCTGCAGGAAAAAAAGCAAAGATGAAGGTGGCAGGACAGATGGATGACAGCCGGGGAAGCCAGATAGATGTCTGTGGTCAAAAGGGCTCCACCTACAGGCCCAGTTGCTCATCCTTCCTCTCCCATGGGATCTGGAGCTAGTCAGGCCCCTTTCGAAGTGATTGGAAGTAGTCCCTCAATGTTTTCTCCACGTTGGGCAAAGCATATGCCTGAGCTGCGTAGATGCCAGTGCAGGTGCCCACGGCAAATCCCAAAACTGCTGATGCCCTCAGTTTGGCCACCACATAGCCGGCCAGGAATCCCTTGAGGAATGGGGATGACAAGAGCGAGCCATCCTGCAGACAAAGATGCAGAAAGAAACTCAGGCAGGCTGTCTCCCTTCTCTAGCCTGGAACTACTCAAGGTGGGCTCAGTAAATTTAATAAAATTTGCTCCTCCTCAATCTGGACAGCTGTGGTATTTTCACCAAAGATTTTCTCAAGGGTCTGGAGCTAGAAAAAGAACTCAGAGAAGTCCTGATAATACAATCTCAGAATCCTGGGGTCACACATCTGTAATCCCAACACTCAGGTGATGAGGCAGGAGAATTGCCCTGAGTTCAAGGCCAGTCTGCATTACATAGCAAATTCAAAAAAAAAAACAAAAAAACCCTGGGATCAGAAGTCTCCAACCTCATCATCCTACTGTGAGAAGGCCAGAGATTCTCCTAGGAAATCTGAACTCTGTGTTTCTCTAGCCTCATTTCCTAATGTTCCTCTACTGCTGCATCCTCGTCATGCTTATAATGCTGCTTCCTGTGCAAATGCTGTTCCATCTGTTTGGAAAGTTAATCTTCTTATGGTGGTATACAGACTAAACCCTATTCTAGTTACCTCCTACTTAAGCTTTTAGTTCAAGTGTTATGTTCTTAGGGAAATTTTCCTTCGGGTGACTGAGAACAAGCCCTCAATAACCATTTGGTGAATAAACTGCTACCACCCATTCAGCATTCTCAAAGCAAGCTGGGCAATGAAACTTAAGGCAAGGGGTAGGACAGCCCCTACCTGGCCTACACCACTGTTGACTTCATTTTCCACTCGTTGCTGCAGGCGCTCCAACTGGTTCTTGAGAAATGCCAGGTCCTTAATCTTGGGCAGAGAATCCTAGGACAAGGGAGAGGCTGAGTCAGTGTACTGAGCTGGCCCCTGCTCATTTCCATGACGCTGGGAGTTAGGAAGAGGGTGGGTCTGAGAAATATCTTTATATAAAACCTTCTTGAGATGGCAATAGTAAAAGAAGAAAAGCACTGAAAAGCACGGAATTCACATAGGGGTCTGGGAGAGGATAACAAATGGAATTTTCCTCAGTAACCTGTAACAACCTTTACAGGAATCTCATATAGCAAGTAGTATGTAGGAAAGGCAGTAGGAACCTTCAAACATTTCTATGAGGAAAGGACCACTGAGGAACTATGAGCTCTCTGCAAACGGCCATCACTGTCCTGCCTGCTGTGTCCCAGTGACTGACACTGGGACTGGAAGAACTTAGTAAATATGTAGGTGATGCCGGGCTTCTAGATCAACAGTGAATAATGGATTAAAGCAGTTTCCTAAACAATTAGAGGGTAAACTTTATTTCTGCTGGGGCTTTCTTCCTTTATTCCCAAGGCCATCCCAAACTGAATGAGAGCAACTAGAAGTAACAAGGAATGACAGCCGGCAGAAGTGTGAATGAGTGATTCTGATCGCAAATAAGTATGAATTTAAGAGTAAGAGAGTGTTTGAATGAAGGTGGTATGAGTGTGCCTCTGTAGACTAGAAATGCTATCTCTGGGTGGTAAGGGTGAATGTTTGCGTGTGCACTAGTAACTGGGCATCGTGATGTTTGCCAGGAGGGGACACCTGGGAAGCAACGCTGGGCACTTCCTGCCTCGCCTAAAACTGCCCCAACGCCACCCTTCACTGTTGAGGTGGTCAAAAGAGCCCCCCAAAAAGAAGGGGTATCCCTACCGCTGAGCCATATCCCCAACTAAAAAGTCCTCCCTGAAACTAAAAAGGCCGTGAAGTGTAAAGACCAACCCCGGCAGAAGTACACTACACACTCTCTCACCTTGTCATCCGCCATCTTCCCCGCCGAACTTGATGCGCAGGCGCAGACCCGCCTCCCGCCGGCCAAGTGCCGCAGCCATCTTTACTAAGGGCGAAGGCACTTCCGGGGCATTTCTGCAAAGGGTGGGGCATTTTCCTAACCTTCGCGTGCAGAGGTCTGCGCTCAGATATTATCACGTGACCCTTCCCGTAGCGTGCCAGGCTGCTTGTGCGCGCGCATATGACCCCGGGATGATCTCGTGCGCGAGTGCGTGTGGTGCATTTTCGTCCTCCAGTTCTTCATAGCCTGCGCGCTGGTATCAGCGAGTTGGCTGTCGCCTGTGCTCCTCCCTTAGCCCCACGAACGGAAACACGCACCCACGTGAGACTCTAACCCTCCCCACCAAGGCGGGCGGTGCTGCTCAGGCCCGCCCCTTCCCACCCCTTCCCGCCCCTGATCCAGGCCCTGTCCTACTCAGTGTTTGTGCGGCGCCGGTGGGCTTGGCTGTCTCCGGCGCAGAGGCTGGGCTTGTAGGTGCAGCAGCTCCGGAGGTCGCGCTGGGCTGAGAGTGCGGGCCAGCGGGGACGCGGCGGGGCTATGCTGGGCAAGGATTACATGCTGGCTATCATTCTGGTCAACTGCGACGGTGTGCACTGAAGGCCTGGATGGGAGGACTAGAAACTGAGGGGAGATAAGGGAGTGAGAAAGGCACTGCTCCCGACTCAAAGACAGGGTAGGGGGTTCGTCTTGATCGGAGGACAAGGGGACAAATAAACCCTAATCTTTTCTTGCAGTGTCTTTTAATATTGGAGAGCCTGGAGTTCTAGCCTAAAGGCTGCCCCTGTGGAATGGTGGGAGGGTAATGATGAGGTGTTATTCTGAACTCACGAATATGTCCCTCCTCTGCAATGTCTTGTTCCTATAGATGACTTATGGGGGGACCAGAGTCTGGAGGGGGAGCCAGGCCTGCCCCCTGGCTGGAGGAAGATCCGTGATGCTGCAGGTACTTACTATTGGCATGTACCCAGCGGTAGCACCCAGTGGCAGCGCCCAGCCTGGGAACTAGGAGATGAAGAGAACCCAAGCACGGTAGGTGAAATGTAAAGAGGGGGACCTGAGCACAAGTGTGGACCTAGGCCTGCTGCTACACTGACTAACCCATACCCTACAGGGCACGGAGAGGATTTGGGGACTGCAGTCTCCCAAAGGAAGATCTTTCTCCAGTTTAGAGAGCTCGCTGCACCGGAGGTAACAGGGATTCCCCAGGTGAAAATAAAAGGCTTAGGGTTCCATAACACTCAAATATGCACCTGGGAGCTGGGCGTGGTGGTTCGCACCTGTGATCCCAATATTTGAGAGGCAGAGGCCAGATCACTACAAGTTTGAGGCCAGCCTGAGTTATGTAGTGAGTTCAAGGGCAGCCTGAACTGTGTAGCGAGACCTTGTCTAAAAACGCTGCTGGACCTTCAGTCTTTCAGCTCGGGTTCTAGACTCTGTGCCTTTTTGAGCCCTATTCTGTGCCTTTGGCTTCATCCTATGTCCTTGATTCTAAGTTTTGGCCCTTGTTCTAAGTTCTTGTCATTAGCTACATGTTCTTTTTCATATTCTAGGTCATGATCTATCGTGTTCTAGACCTTGGTTATTGTCTTAGGCTCTGTGAAGGATCCTATCCTGTGTTCTTGGGTCTCATCCCAGTTTGGGGGTCTTATCCACATTTTGGATGCTGCTACACGTTTGTAGCTTTTATGCCCTGTGTCTGGGTCCTGTTTCCTGAATTTTCCCTCAAATGTCAAGCCATATATTTACATAATTTAATATGTCCTCTGATCTACCCCGCTCGGATTTTATATTTGTGGTGTTATAGTCTGGGTGCCCTCCCAAACCCTGTGCTGATTAAGTAGCCTGGGCCTCACCATTGTCCTTACTGTAGGAAGTATAGTTCTCACAAGCTCTGCTCTCTGTTCTAGTAACTCTCTGACCTGGTATGGTGAAGAATCCTATATCCAGAGCCTGGAACCAGGGGCTAAGGTAGTGATTTGGAGCTCAGGGGATTGGGGGCCTAGAACATTGCAAGATCCCAATGGAAAGACCAGGGGTACAAGTGCACTGAGAAGAGATGATCAAGGGTGAAAGCAGAGACTACTGTTTGTATGGGTGGAGCCTGGGGCACTTGACAACCTATTCCCTCTGTACTCATTCCTGTCCCTTCCTCCAACTTGTCAGTGCTTTGCAGTCCGCTCTCTGGGTTGGGTGGAGGTACCGGAAGAGGATCTGGCACCAGGGAAGAGCAGTATTGCAGTCAATAACTGTATCCAGCAGCTGGCCCAGACACGCAACCGGAGCCAGCCCCCAGATGGTGCTTGGGGTGAGGTGAGTTGTCTTGCCCGACAGAGGGTGCAGTCTATGCCCCAACAGAGATAGTTATCCCCAAATTGCCTGTTCTTCATGACAGTCAGTCACCTTTATCTGATCTCTGAGTTGATCTCTGTCCTTGGCAGGGCCAGAACATGCTGATGATCCTGAAGAAAGATGCCATGAGTCTGGTGAATCCTCTGGACCACAGTCTGATCCACTGCCAGCCTCTGGTGCACATCCGTGTATGGGGCGTGGGCAGCTCCAAGGGCCGGTGAGGACTTCTGCATCCCCCAAGCGAGAGCTGCTTCTCCCTCCCCCTGCAGGCTGTGCTACCCACTGATGCTGATCCCTGGTACCTGAACCCCTGGACACAGATCCTGATATGAACCCAGCACTGCCTCTCCTGCCTGGTCCAGCCCTGGTGGGGGAGGGTGGGCCCAGCTCAGCCCCCAGCTCAGCAGGGACAGATAGGTGAGAGCCTGAGAGGCTGGGCTGATTCTCTCCTGTGCTCCCACATGCTTCTGGAACAGTGACAGGTATGTGACAACCATGTACCTTGAACCCCAGCTCTGACATCTCTACCCTAGTGTTGCTTTATCCTTATGTTGACATTAAAAGTCCCTTGAGGGCCGGGGATTTAGCTCATTGGTTCCGCCGCTTGCCTCGAAAGCACAAGGACCTGAGTTCGATCCCCGGTACAAAAAAAAAAAGTCCCTTGAGGGCATTATAGGTCCCTGCCACTAACCAGCTCTATCCCAGCCCCATTTCTACCTCTGCCAGGGACTTCGCTTTTGTGGCGGGTGACAAAGACAGCTGTATGCTCAAGTGTCATGTGTTTCATTGTAATGTTCCTGCCAAGGCTATTGCAAGTGCTCTACATGGTCTCTGTGCCCAGGTAAGGGCTGGGATGGGGGGTGGAGGAGGGGATGTGGATGTGGATCTGGGGCTGAAACTTCCAGGGTAGTTAGCTCCCTCCCCCCACCCTGGGCCTTATGCTGACTACACTGTATTTTAGATCTTATCAGAACGAGTTAGGATCAGTGGCGATGCTGCTTGCTGCTCCCCAGACCCCATCTCCCCTGAAGACCTGCCTCGACAAGGTATCAGGCTGCTTTGGTGAAAGATGGGAGTGGTGGCAGGGGTGTGTTTCCTGGTTATTTTAACACTTCTCTTGAGATATGTCTGATCCCAGAGATCGATCCAAGGGATCCCAAGCCCTGAATTGGAGGAGCATCCATGGTCTTTCTTCTACTAGCAACAGCTCTAGCCTGGGTCTTGGGCCATTCAGAAAGGTGGGGAAAGGGGTAACTGAGCGAGTTCTCCTGGCAACTTGGTGTGTATATTTCAGTGGAGCTGCTGGATGCAGTGAGCCAGGCTGCTCAGAAGTATGAGGCATTGTACATGGGGATCCTGCCAGTCACCAAAGCCATGGGTGAGGATGGGGTGGGGGCAGCTGGATGGGCTGAGCTACATAAATCGGGGAAGGTGGGTGAGGTGGGAGTCTTATCACCTTTTCTCTGAGTCCTCCCATGCCCTTACATAGCTTTGGATGTATTGGCTTTCCCAACTTAGAATTCTAAGCCAGTCCCTGCTATCCTCTTCCCATCTTACTGAATCCCAAGTAAGTGAGATGGGACCTAGATATTCTTTGCAGATCCCTTAAAAAAAAACACTGGGAGGTACAACAGTGGGATGTCCCTCCAGGCATGGATGTGCTGAATGAGGCCATTGGTACCCTCACCGCCCGGGGGGACCAGAACACCTGGGTCCCTGCCATGCTCAGTGTATCTGACTCTGTCATGACTGCACATCCCATTCAGGTACCAGAAAAGGATGAATGAAGTTGGGGACTGTGGAGGGTGAGCAGGGATGCTGAGGGAGCCATTGCCTGCTGCTGGAAGAGTGGGTCCAGCCAGTGCTTGGCCCTCTAGTGACTAGGTGTGGTGTGGGCAGGCAGAAGCCAGTACAGAAGAGGAGCCACTGTGGCAGTGCCCAGTCCGCCTTGTGACCTTTATTGGCATTGGCCGTGACCCACACACCTTTGGCCTCATTGCTGACCTTGGCCATCAGAGCTTCCAGTGTGCAGCTTTCTGGTGCCAGCCCCATGCTGGAGGACTCTCTGAAGCTGTGCAGGCTGCCTGTATGGTGAGTTCGGGGTGGGGAAAAGGTGGGTGGGAGGGGTGGTATTGCTTTGCTGCTGCTCTGTCCTGGGGACTGAGCTCAAGATCGCAGCTTTTCCACAGTTCACAGACCAGTGATCCCAGAGCTTATTGGTTCACAAGTACTTTGGGCCTCATTCTGGTTTTAGTCAGTTTTGGTTATATGCCAATATTTAAAGGCCAGGACATTTTATACAGTAATTGCTATGCCTGCGTTTCTTAGAGCATGAGGATCCCTGACAGGGTTTCCACATACATTTCATGCATGTAGAGTTGTGTAGGGGCTGTGCTCTGTAGGATTGGCATTGTCTTTCCTGATTCTCTTCATTAGGTTTTCTTGGCATCTGTGGTCATTCAAATGTGCGATGCTTAAGCTCCATTAGTTCAGTTCACTTACTCAGTCAACAAATGTGAGTGCATACTACTGGGACCATACTTGCCCCTGGGAATCCAGGAGTATAGAAGGCACAGCCTTTTCCTTTACAGAGCACTTAGAATAGAACAGAAACACACCAGAAAGTTGTACACCACAGGATGACCGAGGAGATGGCCCTTCAGGTGTCAGGAAGGCTACCTGTAAGAGGTGATAGAAAACTGAGAGGCTCCAAGAGGAAGTTTGCCAGGTGAAAGGGAGTAGGGTAGGTATGCCAAGCACAGTTGTGAGGGTGAGAGAGATGTTAGTGGATTAGAGTATCTGAAAGAATCTAGCGTATGTGGTGTGCAGGGAAGATGTAATGAGAGAAGAGGGAAGAAAGAATGGCAGAAACCTGGTCATGGAGAACCTTATAGATCAGAGTGACAAGTTTATTTTGCCCTGAGACACTAGGAACCATTGAAGGGTTTTGAGCAGGACAGTGAAGTTAGGACCACCACTTATGCTATAACATGGGTGAAAGATTTCAGGGACACAAGTGAGGAGGCAGGAAAGTGATTTAGGACCCTCTCTGAGTAGTTCAAACGAGATAGGATTGAGGCAGTTGTATTGCCTAGTGAATCTGTTCTGCCAGGAAACTAGTCCACCCGCCCCAGTGAGTGATGGAGCAGAGGCAGCATAGCGGTGAGTGAGGTTAAGAGTACAAGCTTTGCAGTCAGACAAAACTAGGTTTGAATGGCAAGTACACTTTTCTGGGTGTGACCTTGGGCAAGTCATTTATTCTCTCTGAATCTCAATATCCTCACTTGCAAACTGAGGGTGATAACACCACATGAACAACTAGATAGAGTAAGTTAGATTATTGTACAAAGGACTTAGGATGTCTAGCCCTCCTTAAATGCTCAGTAAATTCGAAGTTCTGTGTTTTGTGTTGAGGGGTCTGGGAATGCTATGGGTACCAGCTATCAGCCTTATATCACACAGAAGCCTTAGCAAGCTTTCAGCCCTGCAGAAGCTTTTGGAGAATCCACGGGCAGAGTGTAGCTGGATCTTCACATTCCCCTTCTCCCTAGGTTCAGTACCAGAAGTGTCTTGTGGCCTCTGCAGCTCGAGGCAAGGCCTGGGGTGCCCAGGCCCGTGCCCGCCTGCGGCTCAAGCGGACCAGCTCCATGGATTCCTCAGGAGGTCCCCTGCCTCTCCCTCTACTCAAAGGAGGGGTTGGGGGTGCAGGGGCAGCCCCTCGAAAGCGGGGTGTCTTCTCTTTTCTTGATGCCTTTCGGCTGAAACCCTCTCTCCTCCATATGCCCTAAATTGATATTAGAGGGCTGGGGAAGGAGGCTCTGGATCCATGCCCAATTCTGTACCCTTCCATTCCCCAGGGGCCTGCAGCCTCTCACCTATGTTCTTGCCCCCATCCTCATTTACCCTCTATTTCCCAATTTATTATTTATATTGGTGACTGAGAGGACCTGCCCTACAACTTAGGCCCCTGGCTCCCCTTTCCTTTCCTTGGGTCCTTGTCCCTGTCCAGCCCTGGGCAGTTGGCTCTACCTCAGCAACACTTTATAGCAAAATCAGTGCAAATAAAAATCCCTCAGTGACCTCACTAGGTGTGAGTATATTGGACCTGGGACCGCGTTGGGGGCCAACAACCTGTGTGAAGTGTGTGTGTTTGGTTTTGGTGGCTGCCTGTAGTCACATGAGGGCGTGGATGTGAGAGTCTGACCTCATTCCTTCAAAATTTCTGAGGTCTCTGTGTGAGGCATTAAACTAGGTATTGGGGTCAGGGTCCCACCTTGAGACTATTTGAGAGAAGATGCACAAGAGTCAAACAAGATAGAAGATATGTAGGACAAATAGTCTCAAAAGGTGGTGGGAGCTTGGGTGACCCTTAAACGTGGCCTAAGGCATTACAGAAGACTTGAAGAGCTGACATCTATTGAAGGAAGATGAGCTAGTTAGTGAGCCTACAGAGCAGTGGACAGAAGTGTGGCTCTAGAAGTCGGGGTTCGCTAGATCACAGAGGAGCACACATGGGGTAGGAGCTTTTTGGCTTTAACTTGCACCTTAGGACAAGTGGGAGAGATTGGACTCAGAGAAGACTAGGACTCTGGCAGCGCCGGCCCCTTGGAAAAACATACATGGTGCCTTGTGATCAGGACCCCGTGGATCTTTAGCTGAAGAAGTTATCTAGTCCCATAGGGAGGTGGTGCCGAGTTTTTAAGGCGGCGGCTGCGAAGCACTGCTCCACCTCAGGGGCCCCGAGCCGCCGACCCAGACTGGAGCGCAGAGCGGCCGCCCCGGAAGTGACGTGCTGCTCCGCTGGCGGTGCGGAAGTGGAGATGGCGGAGCTGTACGTGAAGCCAGGTGAGAGCGCGGCCAGCGGGGTTGGGGCGCACCGTTTGTCTCCCCGAAACCCAGTACAACCTTTGGCTGATTCCCAGTCTCGCTTCACATTTCCCCTCGTCTCCGCAGGCAACAAGGAGCGCGGCTGGAACGACCCGCCGCAGTTCTCTTACGGGCTGCAGACCCAGACTGGCGGACCCAAGCGCACGCCGCTCACTAAGAGGGTCGCCGCCCCGCAGGATGGATCCCCTAGAGGTGCGTGGGGTCCCTGCGCGCAGAGAGCCGCAGAGAATGGGCGGTTCCAGAGTCAACCTGTCCCTGGGTCTGTTTTCCACCTTCCAGGATTCCATAAGGAGAGTTTGGGACCCCAGGAAGGGGGTTGGGCAGGCGCTTTTCCGAGTTTTCCTTCTGCTACGAATTTTGATTTTAAAAAATAGCCCATGTTGGCAGGGGGTTTAGCTCAGCGGTTCTGCCGCCTGCTTTGCGAGCGCAAAGTCCCGAGTTCGATCCCCGGTACCAAAAAAAAACCACAACCCCCCCCCCCAACCCATGTTTTCATCCTAGGTGATAGTGAGACTATTCTCAAATTATTTTCGTTACTTTGAAATTTTTTTTCCAACCTAGACCTCTTTCCAGAACCCCATAGTGGCATACTGTATCTACTTTGTCTTCACTTGGGTATATAATATGCACCTCATACTTAACGTGTCATTCAATCAGTATTTTTTACTAAGCACTTACTAGGAGGGCAAACTAAACAACAGTGAGAAAGACAAATGGTCTCTGTTTTCACGGTGTATTCTGTAGTGTTGAAGATGGATGAGTTGGTGGTAAGGCCTTGTAAAAAAATAAAACAGGGTGATGTTACTAGGTAACTAAGTTAGCTGAGGGGCTGACATTTGAGATTAGTCATACAAAAATCTCAGCACTTTGGGCGGGGGATTTAGCTCAGTGGTTCCGGCGCCTGCCTCACAGCGCAAGGTCTTGAGTTTGATCCCCAGTACGAAAAAAAACAAAAAAAAAATCCCAGCACTCTGAGAAGGCTGAGGTAGGATGATCGCAAGTTTGAACCTGGCCTGGGTAACTGGATGACTCTGAAACCCTGTCTCACAATAAAAATTTTTAAAGGGCTGGGGATGGCCAGCCGTGGTGGCACACATCTGTAACCCTGGCACTAGGGGAGGCTGAGGCAGGAGGATCATTGTGAGTTTGAGGCCATCCTGGGCTACATGGTGAGTTCAAGGACAGCTTGAATTAATAGCAAGACCCTGTCTCAAAAAACAAAAGGGCTGAGGATCTCCCAGGATACAAAGTTTGTACTTTAATTTATTTAAAGCTGGAAGGCACTGAAAAGTTAAAGTAAGGCGACCAGTAAGTGAGCTGTGGTCCTCCCAGAGGGGCTCAGGTTTCATTCTTTTCAGCATGCCTGCATCCTTTTCCACTACAGAGGAATGATATAGGGTAGTGGTGGGAAACCTATGGCCTGTTGTGCTGCAGTGGGCTTTTTGTATCACTGAAAGCTCTAAAAGGTTAGTCATGACTGATATAGGGCAGTTTTTAACCTCAGCACTGTTATATAGGTCTAGATTGTTCGTTTGGGGGACTGTTTTTGCACTGTAGGTTCTTTGGCAGAAACCCTATCTCTACTTAGTAGATGGCAGTAGCACCCACCCAGTTGTGGCCAGACAGTCCCAGGGGCAAAACCTCCCCACTTTAAGAACCACTGACTGATTTACATCTTTGAAGAATCACTGTGGGGGGTAGGTTGTAACTCAGTAGTAAGATCCTTGCTTAGTATGTGTGAGGCCATGTTTGATTTCTAGCACTGGAAAAAACATCACTGTACTGTGCAGAAAACAAGATTTTTGAGAAGAAATGGAAAGATAAATCTAGAAATTACGATATTACAGGCAAGATTTAATGACTGACAAGGATAGTAGTAATAAGGGTGGTAGGAATGGGATGATGGATGTTATGGAGAAAGGAATGATAGAGGACGAATCATTTTTTTTCTGATACGAGAAGATTGGGGGACAAAGGATTTTTCTAGCGGGGGGAAACAGGCTTTTGGTTTGGATCATGTTTAGTTTGGGCTGCTATTTTTGGCAGAAGTCTAGGCTAGAGTTAGAGAAATAGTTGTACTCATATGGATATTTGGTGTCACAGGCTTGAATAAGGTTATATAAAAGTGTGGATAGAGGCCTAGAGAAGCCAAGACAAGGTAGCCACAGATCTCCGTCAGTTAGTAGAACTGGTGGTGGGAAGATGAGAGTTCCTTTTTGATGACCTATATTTTCTCAGTGAAACGTGAAACAGTGTCAGATGTAAAAAGAGTACCAAAAGGAAGGAAAGATGAAAAATAGGGCTTTCCAGCATTTCAAGGTTGTGTAGAGAAGGAATCAGCAAAGAATACTGAGAAATAGCCAAAGAAGAATATGAGAGAGTAAAAATTAGTCAAGAGTGAAGAATATTGCAGGGAGGTCAAGCAAGATTAAGGGATCATTAAATTTGGCAAACATTGCAATCACAGGTTACCTTAACAATAGCAGTCTCTGGATTTGGTTAAAACAAACAGCTGGAATGGGCTAAAGAGAATATGAAAAATATAGAGTAATTATAGACAATTTATTCAAGAAATTCTCTTGAGTATCTGACTGGAATAATGTGGAATAAGGGAGGGTTGGTGAAATAAGGGAGGGCAGTACTTTATATACTACAGCATGTTTATATGCTGAATAATTCAGTAGAGAACTAGAACTGATGTTGCAAGAGAAAAGGAATAATTGCAGGAGGGAGCCTAAAGAAGACTTGAGAAGCTGGGTTATAGACTACAGCTGGTGAGATAGCTTTTGATAAGAGCAGGAACTTTTCATCTATAACAGGCCACAGATGTAGGTAGGTTAGTAGAATCAGTGTGGCAAGATGAGAGAGTTCCTGTTTGAGGACCTACATTTTCTCAATGAAACATGAGGCAGTGTCATATGTGGAAAGACAGTAGAGAAAAGAAAAGATGAAAAAATAGTTGAGATGGGAAAATGAGGCAGTGTTGGGCACCTCAAGCACCTGGTTTAACTAGTAGAATGGCTTAATAAGAGGAGAGAGGGAGAGAAAAGAGTGTTTATAAGGGAGCTGTTGTGGTGATGCATGCCTGTAATCCCAGCACTCAAGAGGTTGCGGCAGGACAATCACAGCAAGTCTGAGGCCAGACTGTGTTACACAGTTCCAGGCCAGCCTGAACTACACAGCAAGACCCTGTCTCAAAAAGAGAAAGTATAAGGGAGTGATTTTTAATTCCCCACAAAATTTGAACAATTGAGCTGGAAGGGTGGAAGGAAGGGGTGATTCAATTTTAGAGGTCAGTACAGTACTGTGAGCAAAACAAAGGTGAATAAAAAGGTGGGGCAGAGTGATCATAGAAAAATACAGTAGTCAGGTAACCCAGAGGCCAAATTATTAGATGCATTAATTATCCTTGTGGATGATGATGCCTAAAAGTAAGTTTTGGGCTTTCCTCCTCCAGTCTTTCGCAGTCAGTGAAATCAGAAACCAAATCATCTCGACTTCTCTCCCTCACCCCAACCACCATGTCCTGTTGGCACCTCCTCTTACATAAAATCTCAGACAACTCCATTTCCCCTCCTTCTTCACCTTAGTCCATGCCAGCATTCTTTCCTGGAGTACTCCATTAACCAACTGCTGTGCCTGCCTCCATTCTTTATCTGTTTTCACTAGTTTTTCATAGAGCATCCATCTGAAAAAGTCTGGTCATATTACTCCTTGCTTCTGTAAACCTGTGGTAAGCTTCTCAGGACTGTGTGGCTCAGGACCAAACAACTCAGGATCTGGACCCTGTGCTTAATCTCTCCTTTAACAGCTCATATTACTTTCTTCAGTGCTAATAATTTCCAGCCCCAGCAGCCTTGTTTCTTCCCTTGAACAAGATTGTTCCTGTCTTTTGAGCATTGCTCTTACCTCTACACAGTACTTTCAACTCTTCATAGCTGCATTTATTGTATCCCTTAATTCTCAACTTAATAAAAACTGCTAACTTTTGAGTACTTTTTCCTACACACTAATCTAGTAGCTGTACCTACCTATATTTATGTTATCTTAATCCTGCAAAGTGTCATAACTACATATAATACCCCCATTTTAGAGGAACCCAAGTTTAGAGGTTGTAAGTAACTTGTTGGAGATCACAGATCACTTGAGCTGAGATAAGCTTAGAAGGCTTTCCTTGAACAGTTTAGGTAGGTCCCCCTATTCCTCTTTATCACATAATCTCTTTGTAGCACATAATTTGGTAATTTTCTTTGTTCTTTTTTTTTGGTACTGGGGATCGAACTCAGGTCTTTGGGCTTGCGCAGCAGGCAGTGAAACCACTGAGCTAAATCCTCGGCCCAATTTGGTAATTTTCTTGTGTTTTTCTCCTTTCCCTCTACAATTTTAAGTTCTTGTGGTCAGGAACCAAGTCTGTTTGGTTTATTTTTTATTTTTGGTACCTGGAAAATTGTGTATAATAGGGACTATATACTATACATTATTTTTTTTCTTTTGCAGAACTTGGGATTGAACCCAAGGTTTTCACACTGAGCAATATCCCAGCCCCTTTTATTTTTTAGTTTGTGACTGGATCTTGCTAATCACTGAGTTGCCCAGGCTGGGCTTAAATTTGTGATCCTTCTCCACAGTCTCCTAAAATACTGGGACTATAAGCATGTGGTGCCATACCTGCCGCCCACCCCCACCGCCATACTAGGGGTTGAACCCAGGACCTCTGGTATGCCAGACAAGCACTCTACCCCTTAGCTACATACCCAGGTTTTTTTTGGGTGAGGGGTGGGGGACCTTGCTAAGTTGCCCAGGCTCTCCTTGAACTAGTGATCACCCTCCCTTAGCCTTCTAAATAGTTGGAATTATAGGTCTGCATCACCATACACAGCTTTTATACACATTTTTGAATGAAATGAGTTGTCCCGTAGAGTAGTCTTGCTTAGAAGAGGTGAGTTTAGAATTATTTATCTATTTAAGCCATATTGCTTGATTCTGCTTTACCTTTTCAGTTGCTGCCTCAGAGACTTCTGGGCCTCCTCCAATGGGGCCTCCACCCCCTTCAAGTAATGCTCCCAGACTCCTACCTGTGGGGAGCTCTCCTGCCCACAGTGTGGAACCCATGGGTTTTCCAGCCTTTGAGTCTGAGGCTTTAATAGAGGATGTGCTGAGACCTTTGGAGCAAGCATTGGAGGATTGCCGTGGTCATACAAGGGTAAGCCCTGGCACTCCAGGGGTGGAAAGGAATCCTCCTATTCACAGCCAAATGCAGCTATGGCTCCCAAAGGGAGACCCTTTGGGCAATGGCTCTTAATTCTTTTAGTTATGGGCCCCTTCAGAATCTGCTAAGGCTTTCCCAAGAAAGTGAACGCAGAATTTCAAGAGGGTTCACAAAACTTGTCAGTCAGTCATAGAGGCTTATGGGATTAAGAGTTGAACTTAACACCCATTAGTAAAAATAGCAGCTTGATTTTCTGTTCCTTCCAGGTCATTCAGAGCACACATTGCTAATTTTGTGCTCAGAGAATTTATATTGTGCTCAGTGAGGGAGGGAGCAATCTTCTACCTAGTGTTTTTCTAAGTTCTTTGCAGGCAAGGAATAAAGGAAAGGGGAAATAGCATGGTAATTTTACCTTTTTGATTGATTCTTAAGTTTCTTTGTTTGCAAAGTACCACTATGAGCTTCTAAGAAGTCTCTGAGATTTAAAAATTCTAGCCATATCTGTACTTTTTCTTGGGGGGAGATCCATATTCTCAGTGGGGGCCTCTAACCTTTGTGTAAAGAATCAGAGCTCTGGGCCGGGGATTTAGCTCAGTGGTTCTGCTGCCTGCTGCGCAAGCGCAAGGACCAGAGTTTGATCTCCAGTACAAAAAAAAAAAAAGAATCAGAGCTGCATAGAGATCCAGGCCAGAGAAAGTAGGTGCTTCCTGAGAGGTGCTGACTTCCCATCTCCCTGCTGGGCTGGCAGCACTTGAGTGAAGGGGGCTTGTCTCTCAGAAACAGGTATGTGATGACATCGGCCGACGCCTGGCACTGCTTCAGGAACAGTGGACAGGAGGAAAGTTGTCAACTCCTGTAAAGAAGAGGATGGCACTACTGGTGCAAGGTATGAGTGGGTTTCTTAATATGTTAGAAGTCCCTTGTACTGCCATAGTTGGCTGAGCTGAACAAGCTCTGCAACTCTGACTTTTTGGGGAGGAGAAGCATGGAAGCTACTACTTCTTATCCCAGTCTGCTTGCTCAAGTTCTTTCTCCTCAGAGCTTTCAAGCCATCAGTGGGATGCAGCAGATGACATCCACCGCTCGCTCATGGTTGACCACGTGACTGAGGTCAGTCAGTGGATGGTGGGAGTTAAAAGATTAATTGCAGAAAAAAGGAGTATGTCTTCCAAGAAAGAAACCAATGAAGAGAAATCTGAAGCGGCAGTTGAGAACCGGACCATACCAAGCTTTCAAGAGGCTCTATAATCCTGGAGGTTCCCCAGACTCACACCATCTGCCAGGCCTTGGTGTGGGAGGTCTTCTCTGACTTGGCTCCCTTTTACCACCAGAGAGACTGTCCCATTGGGCATCGACTACAAGGAGGTCACTTGTTACCTATAACATATGCATTTCAATAAAAAGCATCTCAATGGTAGACACTGGGGAGGAAATAAGAGCCTTTCCTATGCCAAACTGGTTCCTTCTGATATTAACTGTCCCATACCCTATGAATTTCTATTCTTCCTTCTCCATTCATTGTGAAGCTTTGCTGGGCTTGGCCAGATTGCTGCCTGCAACTTTTCCCAGAATTAAAACTGAAGAGCACATTTGTTGCTATGTGGAACACCCATCTTTTTGGATGATTTCTTAGCATGAGAATAGATTCAAATAGCACAGGGAGACTTCCCTCAAGAAAAGTAGACTCCTTTTGATTTTTGTTTTGTCTTTTGAGACAGGGTCTCACTATGTAATTCAGGCTGGCCTTGAATTCACTATGTACCCCAAGCTGGCCTCAAACTCAAGTGATCTTCCTGCCTCAGCCTCCTGAGTACTGGGATTACAGGCATGTGCCAGCACATCCAGCCAAGACTTTTTTGCACTGTATCATCTTTGAGGTATTTAGATGCTAGAGATTAAACTTAAGAGTGGGATGTCTGCTGTATAAATTGAAGGAGAAAAAATACTACATTACTGCGATTTGGAATCATGATTTATCTGACTCACCAAGCAAGCTGCTAATTTTGAGTGTCAGTGTGGGCCCTAATGTCTCAACCCTCTGTGAACACAGCCTGGCACGGGGTGGTCATGGTAGATATGCTGTGTGAAGGAAAGCTATAAGCTTTTCAGTGTTGGAATGGGAATTGGTACCTACAGGAAAGAGGCCGAAAAGCCAAAGGGAGAGACAGGATGGCTATAGGCTAGGACAAAACCTCTCTTCTAGGAGTCTGGCTTAAGGATAGAAGAGGGGCCGGGGATTTAGCTCAGTGGTTCTGTTGCCTGCCTTGCAAACGCAAGGACCTGAGTTCGGTCCCCGGTACCAAAAAAAAAAAAGAATAGAAGAGGGGACACAAGGGAGGCCTAGCTGGGGAGACCTAGTTCTGGGAAGGTTTCTTCCTCTAAAGACAGGAACAGCAGCTGGAAGGGCAGGCTACTGCTGTTTATGGGCTGGCAACTCCTATATCCTGCCTCAGGCCGTAATTGCTGCTGGAAGTGGGCCCAGTGGGAACTGGGAACAGATCTGGGGCCTCTTAACTAGGCCTGCTGGGGCCCTCAACTTTGTCGCTGAGGTAAAATCAACATGGAGAACAGTGGAGCCAAGACATTTCTTTGAATGTTTACTAAGCAGCCCAAAAGTGACAACACTATCCCCCAGTCCCAGCCCTGAGCATAGAGGGCTGGGGGTTGGGATGAGTACTCACAGACCAAAGAGAAAGAGCTGAGGGCCTGGCAAGTTGCCTGCTGCCATACCTGGTCTAGCTGCCTCAGAACTAAAGGAGGCCCAGAATCAACAAGTCACCCCTTTCCAGATTAGATGAGGCCAGCTGGCTTTTGAATACCCCAGGAAGAAGTGAGGTGGTGGCAGCAGCGGCATGAGGGATCCCTCTATAACTCCACACGGGGTCATCTGTACTGGGTTAGATGTCCATTTCAAATTGTGCATCATCTGGAGAGAGAAAAGGCAAGACTAGTCGCTGGACTGAGGGTCTGCAGGCCCAGCATCTGGGCAGAAACCCCTCCTAGAACTGAGCTCCCACTCTACAAGGGCATTTAAACTCAAGGGCCGGGCATTTCTTAATTTTAGTTCTTGCCTTCCTTACCGGGTATCTCTTCCTCTGTCTCCTTCTGCTCCTTCAGCAACTCCAGCTTGGAGGGTGGGGCAGTTGGAGTTGTGACCCCGGGAATCTGAGGGAGGCAGCAGGGGGGTGTCCGGGCAATGGGTGAGTTCTTGCACTCCAGCAGGAACTTTCTGTCGTAGATGATCCTGGTGCCTGTTGAGTGGTAGGGGCTGATGTAAGAGTCAATATGATACACAGGTGACTAGGGTCCCAGACAGCCTTTTGGGGGCTGGCAGTTAGGTCGCGTGTCACATCTGCCTGTGTTTCAAAGGACATTTGCTCTGCAGCCCAGCCAGGACCTTAACAAGGATCTGACAGAATTCCAGGCCTAACCAAGGTGTCTAAGCACCATAAAGCAGGTGGGGCACTGCAGCTAGTCCAGGCAGCAGCAGTTTCAGGTCTTGTTTCTTAGAGGAGCACTAAACTCCTCTAATGTTCTAGAGTTTCCTTGCTTTGGGTCACAAGGTGAGGCCTTGCTGTCCACCCTCAGATCAGAAAGCCAAATAGTTGTGAAGCCTTTTATGCAGTGCTGCCTCCTAAGCTCTTATCTCTTGGGGGGGGGGGCTGTGCCCGTTCATCGGGGAAACGCTGGGACACACAGTTCTTATTCTGACCCCTCCCAAGTCCTATAAACCTCACTCAGCCTAGCCTAAGAGAAACTTGGCCAGCATAGTGTCCTCAAAGGGCCCCTCCCTCTGCCCACGTGGCAGGAACCTGGGTCAGGAGCCCAGCACCCCCAGATCCTAGGCTGCTGGCTCAACCAAACAGCCACCAGGCGGCCACACACACCCAAAGCCCCCTTCCCCCAGCTGTTCAAACTGCTTCACGAGACTTGGACTTCCAGAGGGCACTGACTGTTCCGTTGGGGCCTTGGCTCCTACTCCCAAAACAATAGAGTAGGGAGAACAAGCATATGCAAGGCGTTCTGAGCCCAGGCCACTGTAAGGAATTAAAGGCTAGAGTCACCCGGAAGGTAGGCTCAAGGCGCTGTTGCATCACTTTCAGGTTTTGGGGAACTTAATTTAGGCTTCGGATACTCTCTCCAAAGCCACAACCTGCAGAGGGGCCTGAAGACTAGTCCAAGGCTCACACCTCTCCACCCCCACCCAGCAACACCAAGCACACGTGCGCGTTCCTTTGCCTGCACTTTGCAGACCCCGACCCGGCCCCAGCACGCTGACCTCCGGGGGTTGTGGCGTATAGCGTGCCCCCTGGCGTGGTGCTGTAGCAGTCAGGCAGCCGGTCCCGGCCCCCGGGAATAGGGCAGCTCGTGGACGTGGACATTGCGAGACAGCAGCAGGAAAGCAACCAGCTGGTGCTGTAGACCGGACGCTGCTCCGAGTCTCAGGCGGACCCAGTCGACCACGTGCAGCTGCAGGCAACACTAGGACGACGTCACGCCCGGGGCGGGTCAACCGCTGTCACTCAATACGAGGTTCCCGCCTACTCGCTACCAAGCCAGCCCCTGGTCCGCGGAAAAGCAGGGAAAAGGTCCCAAGCTGTGAACCTGCCTTCGTATTTCAGATCTTCCTGGGCCAACACTTGATAATCTGCCTCTGGCTGCTGCAGCAGCTCGGCTGGTTACTGTTTACACCTTGGTGCTGGGACATCCGACCTTGCTGCGCTGTATTAATTCACCCATTCCTTCAACAGTTCGGTACACTTAAGCACTATAAAAGTCACTCAACAACGAAGCAAATAAGCCTAGAGGTAAGTCTCTGCTTCCAAGTCCTGTATCTTTTGTTTTTTTTTTGGTACCGGGGATCGAACTCCGGTCCTTGCGCTTGTGAGGCAGGCAACGGAACCACTGAGCTAAATCCCCTGCCTCCAAGTCCCACGTCTTGTAGGAGCGGGAGAAGCTGGGATTCAGCGTTATCTGGAGAGCCTGAACCCTTGAGGTCAGCGTATACTGCCTCCTATAACAACAACTGGGTCTGGGAATGTAGCTCAGCAGTAGAGCGCTTGCTTAGCATGTCCGAGACCCTGTGCTCGATCCCCATCACTCTCTAGCATCGTAATAAATACACAGTTCCAATACAGGATGAAAAGTACTTTGATGACCTTGAGCACACCCAGAAGGTCACAGAGTGGAGACTTCTGAAGAAGAGATACTTGGACTAATTAAAGGATGATTAAAAGCTGAGGGACAGAAGAGGCTGCAGCTGAGACATAAGAGTGTAGCGGGTGGAGGTCTGTCCAGTTTTTTTGTTTGGTTGGTTTTTGTTGTTGTTGTTGTTTATGTAGTTCAGGCTGGCCTTGAACTCACAGCGATCTTGCTTCAGTCTCCTGAGTGCTGGGATTGCAGGTGTGCGCCACCCCATGCCTGGCTACAGGTTTGCCCTTTGCTCTGCCATAGCTAACTAAGGAAGGGCAGGTTTGTTAAGGAGAGTTGGTCCTTTGTAGAAAGGAAGGTCAGAAAGTATCACCTTTTTTTTTTTAATGTGGGCTCAATGGTATGACAGGCAAGGGAGAGTGGGAGAATTAACTACTAAATCTAGTATCTATAAGACACTGAAAATCTTGATTTCATCTAGTTGTCCTCTGTGGCTTCCTCAAAATCAGCAGCCCCCCCCCATCCAAATTAAATATAGACCACCTGCCCGCATGCATGTATTTATCAATATAGCCTCAGGTCTGGCTTTATCAGATTTTTCCCTTTGCTCTGATTTTCTTGATCATTTAAACAAAAATAGAATATTTTATGAATCAGTGCTTCTCAAACTTTAATGTGCGTGTGAATTTCTTTGAGATCTTGTTAAAATGATAATTCTGATGCAGCGGGTCTGGGGAGATGCAGGATTTTTAAATATAATCCCTGGTAATGCAGGTCATCCTCAGAATCACATTTCGGGTAGCAAGGGTATGTATATCTTATTGTTCCAAAAAAAGATATTTAAGCCTCTTACAAAATGGTGTGTGCCTAAATAAAGTGTATTAACAATGCTGGAGGGTAAGGACTGGGACCAGATGGAGAGTCCTCTGATAACTCAGCTTTTAAGCAAGGTGAGGAAGTAGTCTGATGAGATAGGGAGTGGGGGATATGGGAAAAGCACAGTGGCTACAGGGAGAGAGGTAAGTGGATGAGTCAGGTACAGAGGAGAATGACAAAGTGATTTATTAAGAGTGGGGTGAGGGAAATGGAGATATACTAGAACAGTGGTGGCATTTTAAACCTATGCCACGCTTAGTGGCTTGTTTAGCATGCTCAAGGCCCTCGGTTCACAGTACTGCCAAAATTTGTTTAGAAAACTAATAGGGAAGACAAGAAGAAGGGCATATCATACTGGGGACTGAATAATGGGTGTGGAATGTCCAGATGAGTACAGTAAAGAGCTAGATATACTGGGCTGAAGTTCAGGGGGAGAACTCTAGGCTAGTGCTTCAGATTTGAATGGAATAAAATCCAAGAGTATGGGATGAGATCACCTGGGGAGAAGGTACAGTGTAAGAAGAGGCCTGAGCACATCCACATTTACTGAAGGAAAAGGATTCACTAAAATAGACCCAG